CCAATATGTTCAATATAAATAATACTAATATTAAAAACGCTATACGATATAAAAGTTCTTACAACATATTCTTCAAGAACGATGTTGTTAATAGAATTTATATATTATACATATATATATTTTTTTCTTTTATCTTTTTTCTTCTTCTTATTTATTAATAAAAAAACCGTAGAAAAATGCACTCTATAAAAATGTACTCGTCAAGAACATCGCAAAGTGTGAATTGTCTCACGTTACTTTATTAACTCGGATCAGGGATGAGTGCATCGTCATCATTGTCGTCGTCATCATCGTCACCGTTGACGTAACACGACAGGACGATGCATGCAGGCAAGCGGACATAGAACGATGCTGATAGCCTACTGAGAGATATAAAGCCGAGTGGCAGCCGCTCTACTCGTCATTTGCGATCATATGTTTAACTTGCATATTCGAAACTAACTTTTCGCGATACAAATAGCGATTTCCTAGAAACAACAACGTATGGCGTGTTGCTGCCAGTATGTAATGTTTAATTTGACGTATACAATGTGTCAACGACAAAAAATATATCAAAAGATCCGTCAAAGTTTATTATGATAACTTTTATTATTATTTCTTTTTTATTTTTTTGCAAAGAAAAAAGAAAGATAAATAAATAAAAAGAAATATTTCGCCTTTTTTAATGATCATTTCATACAAATATAATATAGAATTCTTTTTTTATAATTCTATTTGAAAGAAAAAAAAAAGAAATTAAAAATATGAATCGTCAAATTCAAAAGCCCAGTTTGTAATTTTTGAAAAATTCTATAATTATCCTTTAATTAAGTTAATACATCCTTTCCGTTCACGTTAATACATCCTTTTGATTTACGTTAATACATCCTTTCCATTCTTTGTCCGAAGCAATTTTCCAAGACCATTCCGTTATCGATTTCTTAATTACACCAGCTTTGTATAAATTATAAGATAGTAACAAAGTTTTCGATTACACATGAGAACGGTAACCAACTCGCCGTCTAGAAAATTTGCACGAATAATCGAGCTTCTCTCTATTTACCAATTAATTTGAATCCTTCGTTACAAAAGGATCCATCATCCGAGTAATCGTTCCTTTACGGAAGGATATCCGACTTGCACTTTTCGTTGCATTGCCTATGATATTAGAGTACTCTATTGAATAGACAAAGAGAAAAAGAAAGAGAGAAAGAAAGAAATCGATCCATGTAATCAAACGATTCGTTAGGAACGATCGGTAAGATTTTCTGAAAATAGAAAGAAGTAGACAGAATGATCTCCGAGTTGATTATCCATTCTCGTCACTATGAAAGATATGAAGAGTGAGAGGGAGAGAGAAAGAGAGAGAGAAAATAAGGAATGAAAAGAAAGATCATCTTTCGATCATGTTGAGAGCAAATGAAAAATGGTCGATATTAGATTTGCTTTCGTCAAAGTAGAAGTACAGAGGTGAAAGAAGCAATGTAAAAGAAAAAGAGAGAGAGAGGTAAGAGATATCCTCGGTCGAGTTGACGAGAAACGTGCGGGAGGGAACGGTAGAGACCGGAGGTATTGATTGCGACGCGGGTCTAGGAACCTGTCCGATACACGACCGCGCTTCTACCTGCCTGCCTACACCCATGGATCAGGCCGATTATGCCCTCCGTACAACCGTACCTCTCCTCTTTCTCTTTCCTTCCTTTTCCTCTTCCTCCGTCGTCGTCGTCGTCGTCCCTCTAAGCATTCACATAACGTCACATATAGACATGTATATATTAATATATATGTATGTATTTGTGTAAAAATATAGGTATACATATATATATATACATATCTGTGTGTGTACGTGTTGAAGGATATATGTTTTTTTATTTTAATGTCTTAGATTTGATTTAATCATTTAAAAACTATCTAAAATAATAGAATGTTCTCGAATAAAACATGTATATGTATATATATATGCGCACGCGCGTATGTGTGTGGGTCTGTGTCTGTGGTGAATGTATATGTATTTTTTCTTTTATCTAAATAATTTACAATTAATGTGAAATAATATAGAAAGTTTTGTTGTGAAAACATAGATTTATATGTGTGTCTTTTTTTTATTTTTTTTATTTTTATGTCTTTGATTAACGAAATATTTTCTGTCAACTAATATATGTATACATTAGATAAATTTTCTGTTGTTTGCATATATAGTATGTTCGTAATAGATATTTATTATAGATGCATATATATGTATATCTGTTTACGAATAGGTATCTATAATATATAGGTATATATAATATATGTATTCGTTTTACATTTAAGAGTATGTATTCTCCGAATACAGGTGTTATGTACATATGTATGTAGATGTATAGATCGACATAGACAGGAGGAGTTTTAAACGTGCACGAGCGCACGCGCCAGCTGAAGTAGTCGCAACTTATCACTGAAAGTGCCGAACGAGCGTGCAAGCGCATAGATAGGAAAAGGGTGACGCTCGAATCGATCGATTTCTATCGCTTCTGGCACCATTCGACGATACCGTCCTACCTCGTTCTCGTTGGCAAACGTTAATCGTTAAAAGATTTTTCATTTTTGAATAAGACAAAAACAAATAAAATGAAGCATTAAATGTATTGATTGAAAATCATCATTGAAATTTAAACAATATGATTAGACGAATTTAATCATTTATCTTTCTCATATAACAATCGAATTTTTTTTTACAATCGGATCGATTAAATCTAATACGATTGAAGATTTGATAGAACTTTATCTATCACAATTAAGATGTTTTATGTGTTATTTAACCATCCCCATAAAGAAAGTGAAAATAATTTCAAGTAAAATAAAAATATACAGATATGTGAAGAGTATCTTTGAAAAAGTTAAAATAAAAACAAATTTTTCAACAATCATACTTGAAATAAACAAAATCGATGTAGTCCAATCCCAATTACAGGGGACTCAGTGAGTCCTATGGAAAAAAAATGCACGTTAATACGTTTGATCGTTCGATATAGATTAAATGAATTTAAACAATATTTTCACATGGAAAAAAATGAAAAATAAAAGAAAGAAAAAATATTTAACTATAATATATAAAAAATAATATATAAAAAATATATAAAATATATAAAAAATAAATAACAAAATCCATGGGCAGTCAAGATAATCTATGAAAAAGCAGGTAAAAAGAGAGAAATAGAGAAAAACAGAGACAGAAACCGAGGTCAAAGGGTGAAAAAAGAAAAGGGAGGAAGTCGAATGCATTTTCAATAAGACGCAACGAGCGTTTTACGTTAATCGAATCGAATTTTTACAAGAATGTAAAGAATATATGAAGTAATCATTCGACAGATATATTTCTATCATTAGTTTTTTTTTCATCTTCATCATAGTCTCCGGATCGACGCAGCACGACGGCGCCGAAAGGGCGGGGAAAGTCGGCTTCGTCGGTGACGAGCGTAGCGTTAATCCATCGTCGTGGCGCTGATGCTTGGTTGAAATCAGTGCGAGTAAGGTGCACCGTGAAGCAGGATCGTTCTCTTTCTTTGTCTCTCTCTCTCTCTTTATCCACTTCTTCTTCTTATTCTCCTCTTCGTAGAAGAGGATACCAAGGAGTCATGAGAATGAAAGAAAGAAAGAGATAAGGAAAGAGAGAGAAGGATAAATAAATAAATAGAGAGACAGCAAGTACCGAAACGAAAAAGCTCTCGGCTAGTCTCGTAGAAAAAAGAAAAGAAAGAACGAGGCAAAAAAAGGGAAAAGGAAAAACGATAGAAAAGAGATAGACTAGGAAGATGAGGGTGAAGGGTGAATAATAAGGAAAAAAGAGAAAGAAAGATAGAGAGATAGAGAGAGAAAAAGAAAAAGAGACTCGAAGGAGAAGAGAGTAGACTAATAGTTGTAGTAGAGGCGGGAAGAAAGGTGTCGGTGTGTTGACATCTCTAGCCTCGGAGGGTGTCTCATGTGCGCTCGACGTAACTCCACGGCTAGCTTTGGGGCTGTTGCTGGAGAAGGAAGAGGAGGAGAAAGAGGAGGAAGTGGAGGAGAAAGCCTAGTTTCGAGCATCGATCTCGAACCATCGGCGCAGCTACTGCTGCTGTTGCTGCTGCTGCTGCTTCTGCTGCTTCTACTGCTGCTCCTGCTGCTGGCGCCGCCGCCGTTGTTGCTGCTGGTAAAGGAGGAGGTACTGGTGGTTGTGGCGGTGGTGGTGGTAGTGGTGGTGGTGGTGGTACTGCTGCTATGAGAATGGCGCGAGTGCTAGAGGAAGACGCGAAATCGTCGCATCCTCCGTTCGTCGGAGGGCCGCGACAGAAGGACGACGGTGTGCCGCTCGTTGAAGAAGCGGTAGAGAACGGGCCGGTGAACGTTGCGATTCGATAAACGAAATTTATCAGCTTTTAGCTTTTCTCCGAATGACAACGTAGAAGACGCCCTCTCAGCGTCTCGACGTTCAGGTTCGAGAAGGATGCTGAACAGAGAGAGAACGTCGTCACTGATATTGACTACAACGAGGATCACGATGAGGATCACGAGGACAAATAAAAAGAGGAGAATAACGAGGAAGCTGCAGGAGAGGGCTGAGCGTACTTTGGGTCTTCCCGATGGAATGCGAGCAGCCGATCGAACGGCACGACTCGAAGGCGATGTTCCGCGTTTTCCCGCGTAATCGCGACCGCCTCGCTTGACCAACGGCGGTAATCTCGCGGCGCGATCAACGAAACAGCCAAAATATTGAAGAAAGTTTCGACGACGATTCTTTGGCATCTTTCTATCTTTCTGTCTTTCTATATCTCTCTATATATCTATCTATTTATCTATCTATCTATCTGCTTCTCTCAAAAGACTTTCGAACGATCTTCGAACTCGCTGATATATCTATTTCATTTCAAAAGACACAACGCTGACCTTAACTTTTGCCGTTCGTGTACGATGTCCGTTCAAAGTGAACATTAATGTCTTTAAACGCTCCGATGTAACGACAAAAATCAAGACATATGCACATATTGATAATCCACGTATCCTCCTATTAAACAAAAAATATGGATTGCTGCAACTACGTCGAAGCTTACACACCTAGTGCTCATTTTTATCAACAGCAACAACACCATCAACAACAACAACATCAACAGCAACATCATCAACAACAGCAAGCCTACTTTTACAACAACACTAGCGTTGCCCCATACGCAAACTATGGTACCACACCGATCTCGAACATGCTCGAGGCTAATGCACGTTATAATGCTGTCCTTCCGGCTGCTTATCATCCGACAGGTAGATGTCTATTCAATGAGAACTCACGCGAACTTCTAAAAGTATACACGCGATTTCAATCGACCTTTTTTATTTTTATTTCTTTGCTTCTCATCACGTCTTTCTCCCTTTAAGCTTAAGGGCTTCTCCCTTAACCGTAATGAAAGAACGTCGATAATCACGGAGTGCTTCGGTCTCCCGTAAAGCATCGTTTTATTCGTCGGCGTCGAATTATTATCGCGCGATAGTTCGGTTGATAAACACGATCGATCGGAAGGATGGGTCGTTACGGTTAATTGGATTGACCTCGATCGTAACGTCCAACGAGAATGCTATGATTTACTTTTCCTCGAGAGAAGGATGCGTCAAATGATGGAATTCGCAAACTAAATCGATGATGGATGAGACGATAATTTAATAATTAAAAGAATAGATAAGATGAGACAAGACGATACAAAAACAATCTATTTTTACGGTATCTTATCTGTTCGCAGACTACGTCTACAATCCCAAGGAGGCCCGAATACGAAAAGCTATGCGCGAGCAAAGCCGAGAATCCTCAAGACGCTCGATCCTGCAGAGCACGGTCGGGAATGCACAGGACTCTCTTGGAGCCTCGTCGTCAACAACGACGGCGACGACTACGACGACGACGACGACAACGACGACGAGGACGTCATGTTCATTGGCTGATGAATTCTTGGATCAACAACAACAGCGGAATCATCTTGATTGCAGTGCTTCGGGCTTGACCAATTACCGAACAGAGCAATTCGTCGGGCAAGCTCATCAACCGCATCAACATGATCAACAGCCAACGATACAAGAGTCTTGGTGTCCAACGGTAAACGAACCACGTTCGAAATGTGGATACAATGGCAGGGGACTAGAATGGTATACTGGTATTAATCTTGAGGTTGACGTTGAGCAGAGATCACGACTCGCTATGCAACAATATCAACTTCTTCAACAACAACAACAACAACAACAACAACAACAACAGCAGCAGCAGCAGGAACAACGACAACAACAACAGTTTGGTTTGGGAAAACAACCAATAAACATTATCAGTTATCAAGCAGCAGCCGCTACCGTTGCAGCTGCAGCTAATCTCGGGAGAGAAATTAGACGTCAACAGATGCTTGGAAGCTACCAACTTACTGGATTCCCTGAAGAACAAAAGTGGAGTCCTTATCAGGTGATACTCTAATTGATTTCCTTCAATTTGAAAAATTAATTGACATATTCGCTACTGTTATTTTAAAAAATTGTAATTATTATTAAAGCACTGTCCTCAATGGTCATTCTCGTGGTTTTTAGAACGTCGCGCATACACATCATCAACATGTAAGACCAATCCAATTACCCCCTCCACCGCAAATTATTATCCCTCATGTTAGCAGACAGGAAACTACTACTCAAGGAGCATGGGGTCATTTCTGTCACAATTTACCAACGTGTAAGTTTAAACAATTCATTGATATTAATTAACTTAAACGATTCTAAGAGTAATATTTTTCTATTCAGATGTCCCTGGTGTGATCCGTAACGTTACGATGCACGGAATTCGGCAAGCCATCTTCTTGCGAGATAGTACGTCCAATAGACAGGGCGCAGAGAATCAATCGCAAATACCATGTATTTCACGAAAACGCGAGCTCGATAACACGCGTGACCTGTCTTATCCGCCACCGGAACATCAGGTATTTATCAAATTAGTCATATACGAGTAATGTTGATACAGGTGTAATTACGAATATGAAAAAAAAGTGAAACGACATTAGCGACATATATTTTCAAACTTTAGCAGATACTCGCAGAAGCATCTACATCAGCGATACCCAGAAGATGTGAGATAATTGAAGAAATGAGATGGCAAGCGAATCCGGTAACAGGTTCAAGGATTTTCAATGGATTATTAATCCCAGCGACGGTAAAGTAGAACTTTTTAGAGAAAAATTGATAAATAATATCTTAACTCTTTACACCATCATAAGGTCACGTGACAGTAATATTTTTTTTTAGAACTCTTAAATCATCTCTGACAAAACATTTCGTTCAGCTAATATAATAAGATTAATAGGAAACACAGTTTTATAGAAAACTTGTTTTGAATATGTACCTACATGTATAAATGAGGATATCGAAAGTAGACGAATAAAAAATCAAGTTAGAAATTGGCCAAGAATAAACTAGAAAAATAAATAATTATGACAAAGAATTAATTTTTCAAAGAATACTTTAATTTCATGTCAGTAGATGACGTCAAAGAGACCAAGAGATCAGGAAAAAGACCATGATCATCATTCCTCCGAGAGCTTTGAATCGAAGAAACCAAATTTGACACAACCCTTGCCCGGATTTCATCAAGCTTTTGGCTCGACAGAGATTGGGAAGTTCTCGAGATCGGAATATTTCGCGAACATGATCGGCGATAAGAGTACCGGCGCAGAAGAAGATAAGAAAGAGGACGTAAGTCGGATAGTGGCCGCGGAAGTGAAAGGCACGGTGGTACCAACGACGATAACGACGGCGACGACAACGACAACAACGGCAACTTCAAATTCAACGAGAAGAAACATTGACAAAGGAAAGTTCGAAAATGAAGTCGTTGGAGCCGTTGATCCGACATCGGCTTTCGATGTTGCCAATCAATGTTCGAGCAACAACATTTTTCCAACGTCGTTGTCATCGTCATCGTCATTGTCATCGACATCGACGTCAACCGATGTTTATTGTGGACAGCCTATCATCTCGCCTTGGCACAGTCCGCACGTCGGTCCTGTAGGTAGTGAAATTTAAGTGTATTATCCAATCAAAAAACAAAAAAAAAACAAAAAAAAAGAGATTGCGAACATTTTCGTGCCATTTTATTCGTTACGTTCTAGTGGTCTTCCCGTCGAGAATCGATCGATCATCAAAGAAGGAAAGTGATTCGGCTTGTCCGAGAAATGTGTGCCAATGTATGCTAACGATAATGATGATGATGATAGTGATAACGATGACGGTGATAGTATCGTCGTTAATGTTTTTGGCAACACGAATAGCACTTTTATCCGTGAATAACATATATATGTGTATGTACACGTATATGTACACAAGATGAAAAATATAACGTAAATCGTCATTTTTCTTCTCGAAAAAAAATATTTTCTCTTTTTTTTCTATTTTATGTATAATTTATTACTTTACGAAACGATCACAATTTACCTATTCTTTTCTTTATATATTTTATTAAATATTTCAAAATATGTAAATATGGTCGTGTTATATGATTCAGTCTGTATATTCGATTATCGATGATACAGTCAAAGAGACTACAGGAAGATATATATATATATATAAAAACACACACACACATAAATATATTTATAATTCTTTCGTTAGGAAAGAAATGGAGTTGTTCTCTTTGGTGATCGATCGACGAAAGACTTATCGTCTTGAAAGTTCTAACGGTCTCTTACTCTCTCTTTCTTTTCCTCTCTTTCTCTCGTAAATGTGACTTAGATACTAAGTACCTTATCGAGAAACTAAAATCAATATCAAAGATCGTATGTCGAGCTATAATCAAAATATATACATATATATATAATATATACATATTATATATATACATATTATATCGAAGTTGATTTATCATCAATCTGTAAGAGAAAAATAGAACAAAGGGGAAGGAAGAAAAAAGAGAGAAGAAAAGAAAACGACCGACGAACATATGTTATCAAGTAGGATTATTAATTAAGCGAGAGCACGTATCAACGCGCAAATCAAAAAAAAATAAATAAATAAATAAAAAGAAGAAAATTAAAAGGAAAAGAAAAAAGGACGATTAAGATGATCAATTTTACGCGCTGACGTTGCGAACATGAGAAGGAGAGAAGCCGACAGATAAGCGTCTTTCTATTTCTGACAAATATTTCTCTAAAGGAATGCACAATTAATCGCGACCAGTATTCGCTTACGGAGTTGTTAAAAAAAAAAAAAAAAAGATAAATAAGAAAAGAAAGAATCTTTTCTTTCTACTGGAAGAATGATCTTAACAAAAAGAAATAATCTTCTATCTCCCTTTCATCTGTAATATCTCTTCTCCATAGTGATATACAACGTATGCAACATAAAGTATCATATTCAATTTTTAACGTTATCTTTTATTCGAAATATTATCGACACCTTTATTTATGTATTCAGTTATGTTCATGTTAATTTAAATTGACAAACGAATGAGTTATAATATTTTTTATGTCTTGATTTTACGTCTTGTAACGAAAATCATTTATTATAATATATAATAGACACATAAAGCATTAAAATTTTCACCGGAAAGAGAAAAAAAAATAAAACATAAAACTTATACGTTCGTAAACAACGTTAAAATCGTAGAAGTGTCGATTTAAATTCCGTTTATTTTATTTTCAGAATTTGAGATACAATGTTAAAAAATTGAAGTTATAAATTGAACGTGACAATTTACGTTGTAATATACGTAATATTAATCGTAAATCATTCATCACTATTTCCGTAAGCGAAGTGTGAACACGTATCGGTGCAAGTTTCACTTGTATCAATTGATCGATCGATCCATCGATCAATCGATCAATTATATAAATTTGGGATAAATTCGTGTCGGGCATACCCTGTACCTACAATGGGACCAAATTAACAAATATTAAAGAAAAAAAAAAAGAAAAAAAAAGAAAGAATCAAGGAACAACGTTTATTTTGCGTTCACCGTCGCGCTTGCGTCCTACGTATTGTCGCACGAAGCGTTCTCTCATTCTGTTCGCACGATCGCTCGAAGATTCGATTCCATTGGCCAAGTTTTGACGACAAATCCTCGTTATGATATTCGAATTTACCAAAATAATCCACGAGAAAGATCTATCGCTATCGATTCACCGAAACAAATACAAAGAAGACTTTTACTTATTCCTCTTAATTAATTATACATAATCATCATAAGTAGCGACATGATCGATTCGATAGAGAACATATTTATCGATAGATTAATCTGATAAATTTTTACATACGAGAACATACGTCTTAACTTATTACCGTTGTTGTTGTTATTATTATTATTATTACTTTTTCTTATTTTTATTTTTATTTTTATGAAATACAATGACGTGTAAAAAAATAGAATGAAAGATATCGCAGCAGCTGTGTTCAGATTCATGCGTAGTACAACTTAAGAACGTTCTTCCTTCGATGTAAGAATTCTTGCAGTAAGAGATATACGAATTATAAAAAAAGAAAACAAGATATATATGTATGTATAACGAACAAAGAAGATAACATCGTGACAAATTTATTATATACAATTTTATAATTATTTCTCCTTTTTTCATTTTTTTTATTTTTACTTATTTATTTATTTTCTTCTTTTTTTTTTAAGACGGGAAAAAATGACGATAAAGAAAATCACTCAAATCAGGAGATGTAACACATATCGAAAGGAAGAAAGGAAAATCGCGTTTGCCAAGCTCAAGATAGTCGTGTAATTGTTATATTTATTTGTTTGTTAAGTATGTTGTGTAATTTAAAAAAAGCTATATCGAAACAACGAACGACGGTTAAAACCATAGGGATATAACGTTTTGGAGGTAAAAAATTTTGCATTATTGATCATTTATTATTCGTGTAACGTTCGATTTCGAACGGAGCACAGTTTTGATATAATCATCTCTACAAAATATTTTCATTATTAATATAATGTTTAGTACAAAATTTAGGATTTCTGACGGCAAAATATTACATAGAAGTATGTATTAACACTAAAATACACATATATACATAAACACCGAGAAAGACACACGTGTACACAGAAATGATAACACAATTAGTAAAGCATTGGTGAACCATGTATTGTATAGATATATAAGTTTGTTTTTTCTTTTTCTTTTTTTTTAAAGAAAATTAAAAAAAAAGAAAAAAAACGATGTAACATCAACTTGTCATAGCACGAACGATACTCGCGAAAAATCCTAAGTTCGAAAGGTCAACAATATGTATGTATATGTAAGTATGTATATGTGCACACAGCGAAGGAAAAACATTTGAAAATAGATGACAAAAAGATTCAATAATTTTAACAAAATAAATAAACGAACAAAATTTATGGCGATCCAATGTACAGTGAGTGAACGAACGAACGAACGAACGAACGAATATGCGCGTGTCCGTGCGACAGTAAAGAGAACGAAATATTATAAAATGCATTTTATTTTCTTTCCTAGATCTCAGAAGGGTATCTATCCGTTCCAACAATGTTTCCTTTCCCTATGGCATGTCAAAACGTCTTTAAAACACCTAATGTGATCGACGAAACGAAAAAACAAGGTGAACTCTTCTCACGAAGCGTTCACGATGGTTATTATTGGTTCACCAAACAAGCTGACAATTCGATTGCTAAATTCTCAAATGGTAACGCAGTAAGTACGAATTTTTATATCGATAATATAGTATTATAATATTACATCGATTATATCATTATTAATTTTATATCAATAATATAAATTAATGAACAATAATAATCCTTTCATTTTTTATTCTTCAATTTAATTTTATTTTTGTAACCAAATGTACTATAATTAATTTTCGTAGTTTCTTTTCAATTAACTCTATAATTATATTTTTTCTGCTTTTGATATATCCCATATATTCATATATATAGATATACATATATATATGCTTTTAAAGTAATTTTTTAATAAAATTCTATTGATTTGTTTAATTAATTAAATGAAATGTCATGTAAGAGGTGATCCCATAGCTCAAAAGGTTGATTGTTAGTTGATATTCAAAGATTAAGTTTTGTTAAGTATAAATATACTTATTGTTAGTATAATACAGTTACATATTAGTACAACTTTCAAATTTTATATTATCTACATAATTTTTCTTTAGACATGAACCAAAATTGGACTATAGAGTATCAAATGCGAAAAATAGATCAGTTATATAAACAAATACTAATCATGTCTTGTTTTTATAATTAGATTTTATCCGAACTTTGGAGAATACATCTTTTTTAACACTTAAGTATCAAACCAATTTTGCGAATCAATGTCGTTATCTTATACCTTTCATAACTTTCTGTAGATAAAAAATAGATTCATTGTATTTTTTTTTATATCACTTTTACTCCTATTAGAAACTTTTCTAATAGGAATTTCTTCAAGAAATGTTATAAATTTTATTTAAAAACTCTTTAAAATAATTCAAATTAACTCTGAAAAATTTAATTACAATATTCAGTATGTTAACAAATTCGTATTCTGCATTTTAAAATCTATCAAATCAGGAATTAATTAATTTCATGCAAAATGCATCAATTTGATACAAAAAAAAGATAATTTATTTTTGTTGACCATAGAATGATCTAATCAAGTAATTAATTAATCTTTTAGATCCCATATAATATTATATTAGCGCAAGTAAAAAATACTAATATAATATAACCCGCAAATAAAAAAAACTCAATACTAATTGAAAATGAACGTAATTATATATTTTTTGAAAATTATAAATTATTCCATAAGATGACGTATCAGATGTCCTTAGAATATATCTAAAATTTATTAAATGTGTGACATTGATTAATTATATTTATTAATTCAAATTCAAACTAGAGCTTGTATTACATGCGCTTTGTATAGATTGAATTAAGCACCTGTAAAGCGCGTTAACGTACCTATGGTATCTAAAAGGTTACTTGATAATTATTTGATTAATTAATTAATTGACGGTATCACTTTATTCTGTTTCTTTTGAAAAGTATCAAATTTATGTAAAAAAGAAAAAAAAACTTATACGCAGATATATACAAGGCCACCCGATTGTATCCATCATACTAATGAAGGACACGAATTTCACGAGAACGCAACGATCGCACGTTTATCGAATATCGAAGCACTCCTCCATCGTTACAATGGAAAATGTTGTATCCTGATCAACGAAGACGATCACGTAGAAGATCAGAAATATATTCTAATTGGTACAGACAATAGCGACGACGGTAGTAGTTACATCGAAGAGGACGAAGATAATGAGAATGTCAAGGTCAACGAAAACAAGTCTTGTCGTTACGAAAATAATCGAGAAGAATCTTCGCCTAAATGTTCCGACGAATAAACGAATTTCGAAAGTTATAATTAATCGTTTTTCATCGTTTAAACTGATTTAGTTTAGTCTTGGATCTTTTTGCGAATGAATGAACAATTTATCAATAACGTTACGACAAAGCATTTCATTTCTTCGTAACGACGGCACCCTCTAGAATTTATCCAATGATTATATTCAATAAAGTTTTATCGATTTATCGATGTTGTTCTATTCTTATAGACATTATTTTATTATTTAGAAAAAAAAAAGAAATAAATACATGAAACATAGTTATCAATCGTTTTAATTTTAAATAATAAGGAGTCCAGACTATTCAACGATTAATTCGTCAATGTCAACATTTGCAGATCTATTCAATCAAAAATAAATTCAGTACATGTTAACACACATTGTTGACCGGTTATTATATACAAGAAGTAATGTCTTTTACCGAGTATGTTCATAATTAAATTATAATCGTTATTGAAATATTAAAAATTTTTTTTAATTCTAATCAATAAAGTAATATCAAAATTAAACAAATACTATTAAACACAATAAATAATACTATAATAAAAAAATAAAATAAAATAAAAACGCAAAGCATCGATCTTTTTCATTTTAAATAAGACTCTAGACTATTGAATGATTTATCTGTCAATATTAACATTTACAAATCTATTCGATCAAAAACAAATACAACATATATTAACATATATTATTAACAAGCTATTATATGTAAAAAATAATGCGTTTTATTGGCTATATTCATTATTAAATTAAAATGCATGTGCGAGTACACTCATGACCGGTCAAAGATGTTAATATCAACAAATTAATTGTTGGATATTGTAAATGATAGTTATCTATAATTGTACAATGAGTAAATAATGATTGTTAAGATCATGTCCGAAAGGAATAACATCGCATTCTTTGACCAAATCCCTTTTTTTTCTAGAAAACACAAGAGGAATACAATTTGTAAACAATGAAGAAAAATGTTGATGGTGTTATCGAAACGATTAATAAAGATACTTTATGAAAGGACAGAAGGAGGGAAAGCGGAAGAGGCAGAGAAGCCACAAACGTGATAAACTTTTCCGGGCTATTCTTCTAATCCAAAAAAAGATGCGAGCTACCTAACGGCAGGTAGCTATATTATTATATGGGGGATCCTGCTGTAAACCTCCATGATTCACCGAAGCCATCACGTGGGAACTCTAAAAAGTTTTATTGCCTTTGCCACTGGGAAAAACGCCGAAAGATCGCAAGATCTTTCTGAAGGAAGTAGAAAAGGTAAACATGCGTAGATTTTAGGTTGAATTAGGACAACTATGTACGTTTGTATATTTGTATATAAACGTACATTAAACATTTAACAGGACCAAAAAGTTTTAGTCAAAATCGAATATCGGTTTTGTTTATTTCGTCATTTATTTTATAATTTTTCGAAAATGATTTTGATTGGTCTAAAAAATCAAGTATCAGCTTTCTCCGTTTCGTTAATTATTGTCGAATTATTCTAAAATTTATCTTGATGAGACTAATTGTTATTTATCTATTTAATGTTATATATATGAGTAAATAATTTAATTATTAAACTAATAACTTTGATAGATATAATAAATAGACACATTATTTGATAAATATATAATTTGTTTTTTGATCATTTCTTAAAACTAATATAATGAACAAGAAATCGACAAAATTCTAAACAAATTCATTCGAATATGACGCACACAATCTTAAATATAACAGAAAAAATTGAGAAATTCTACCATCATCATCAGTTCTCAATCATTTAATCAACTTATCCAGAAATACCAATTCTAATATATTAAATATGGAGTCGACAAAATTCAAAACGAATTAATTCGAATTACAACAAACCTAAATATAACAAAAGAAAACGACTTATTAAATTACTTAATAAATAATTTTTTTCATTTATTTGATCAATAAATTCAAAAAAAAAATTCCTAATATACTACTAAAAACTCAAAACATAAATTCGTTCGAATATAAAATTCTATCGATTAAGAATTCTTACCTATCGTCAGAAAACTTCATCAGCTTTGCGGACAATTCATGTTATACGAGTCTCAGACGCAAACATATCCTTGTCGACTTTATATATGTATATAAACGCACTAGTAGAAATCATGGCATGATACTACAAACAAAAAACGGTCCTGGTCAAATGTTCCTAGCCAATAAAAGATTGTACAGCTCGTACCGTGAGACTGAGTCTATGTTGATTTTAGTCATTTGAGATGAAAAAGTACGACTCCGAAGACTCCACCTTCGGTGCTTACCTTGCTGACTCCTCAGCATCAAAAATGAAGATCGAGCTAACAATAGCATATATATCTTTCGAAATGGAAGACTAATAATCGATTTGTTTTTTATCTTAATTCACAATCCAAGAAAACACCCTAAAGGAATTAATGAATATAAACGTGTGTGGATACATACGATAATGGAGAACACTTTCTATAAGATTGTTACATCACCGAAACATCACACTGTATCTTGCTTTAAAATCCTTCACGTATATATTTCTGGAAAAATCAAACAAGAAAGATATTTCTTGAGTAGCACTAAACAAACATAATGTAAAAATATAATAAAAAAAAAGAAAAAAAAAAGGAGAAAAAATAATAAATTAAATATACGATATAATAACAAGATCGCTGGATATAATACTTGATATTTAACCTCGAAGAAGTCAAAGAGAACCGATCGAACGAATTAAGAAAAGAGTGACAAAGTAAAACGATCGGTTGAAATCTCGTTGCTCGTTCACGAATTGATACCGCGAATTCCGGAAGCGAGGTCACACGAGGGGGTCACACATCGTCTGCCGTTGACGAAGAAACTTCAGGAGGAGCTGACGATCGGTCAAGTTGATGGGCGGACTGACGAACTCTCCGTCTACTACACGATGAATCAGCCAACCATGATGGGATCGTAAACTGAAGTCGATCGTCGGTTGGCTTGCGAGTAGGATTAGAGGCGGTGACAAATAGCGTCCTTGAATGGCCTAGAACGAAGAGGGAACCAGTGAAATCGTTTCGTTCGGTGTACCAAGCAGTTTGTAGGGATTACAGCCAATGCAGAAAGAACATGGTATGTACTGCCATGTTTGCGGCAATATCATGAAGAAGAGAGAGAAAAAGGAGACGGAGAGAGAGAGAGAGAGAGAGCGAGAGCAGGCTCTTTCTAATTCCTGGCTCTTAATTAGCACCTGAGGAGCACCGTAACGGAGTTGGTCAGCCAGGGAGGATGGTGCCGTTTCTTTTAGGAGCCGGCCACCGCCAAGAGATAGAGAAGGAAAGGTCGTCCAGGAGAAACTGAGAGGTGTCGCCCGTCAGTCTTCGGCTCGTCTTCGCCGGATAGTGTGAAATATCGCGCCCAAGTGTTACGAGTCCTGGCCACGAGGGCTGGTCAGCAGTTGAAATCGGTGTTGCTAGGTGCGACCGACGACATCCGCGTTCAACGTTCTCCACTCCCTCTCTTTTTCTTACTTTTTTCTTTCTTTCTTTCTTTCTTTCTTTCTTTCTTTCTTTCTTTCTTTCTATCCTTCTATCTATCTATCTATCTATCACTCTCTCTTTCTTTCTTTTTTTTTCTTTCTCTCGAACATTCATTCGTATCTTTGTACCAGCTTTTCTGCTTTCTATATCTTTTCACATCGACCTTTTTCTAATCGTTTATCACATTCGTCAACTTCATCTAATTGAACTAGCGACTTTGGAGAGGGAGAAGCGTGACTTAATTGATCAACGAGAAAAATTAAAAAGAGGGAGAGAGAGAAAGAAAAGTAAAAAGATGCAATCAGGCAATACGAATCTCGGTATGTCTCCTGTACATTCTTCCTGTCGAGAAAAAGATCGACAGAGAGGACAGGAGCGACAAGATACCGAAAATGAACATGAATTAGAACAAGAAGAGGATGGTGAACAAGCTCGAGCAATGTCTAAGGAAACCAATAAGAAATCAAACGATGATCGAGATTCTTTGTCCAGGCAAAATATCTGCGTTACGTCGATGTCCTCCAATCAGAACTTACCCCTATCTCTTTCATTAGAGGACAGAGAATTATGGACTAGATTTCAGTGTATCACTAACGAGATGATCGTCACGAAAAATGGAAGGTAAGAATGCTGATGATCGAATTTTTTAGTTTCTACTTAATCTGATTACTTAAGTCTGATTGCTATCGCACTTGATCATCTAAAATTTAAGAATATATTCAATCTATCATTATTCATTTACATTAATAATCATCAAATATTTTTATCATAGAGAATATAAAAAATCTTCAATTTATATCTATCAGAAATTAAAATTATAAAATTGTTTAAATATTAAACATTCGAAAATGATAAGACCTTTTGAAAGGATCTTTAGAATTTCCAGGTATATTCGAAATATACTTTAAACATTGTAATTGATTTTTTTTCTAACGATCAACGTATCTATGTATCTATTCTTATTTACCTGGCGTGCTTTAATAGTCAAGATTGAGTAGGCACGCGCGACTAATGATCGACCCCGAAAAGGAATATCTCGAATAAAAGAAACATAATTCGGTTGGAGAATAAAAAACTATAGTATTGTGTCGGTAATAAAACTTTACGATACTCACGATTCTTCTTCGTAGAATGTTCGACGGTCGGTCCAATGGCACACCTGCAACTTCTGAAGTTTTGCCGGCGGATTGTCTTCAAAGAAAATTGTTGAACAACGATATAGGTCTCCCATGCACAAAGAAAATAATATATAATAAAATGAAAAATCACGAAATTTGTGTAATATTATTTTTTTCTCTTATGAAATATTACTTACGAAAATAATTCATTGTAAAGAATAACAATCATTTTTATTAATCATCGTAATGAAATGTAAGGACATTTAGAAGAAGACAAAGACAAAGTATATGAAAAGTAGAACACAAAGTTGTAAATTAAGCTAATTGATCTAATAATAATGCCTAGCAGATTTGCTTCTTGCACTACCAACGTATATTATTCGCTGATAGAATTCTTTTCTTGTATTAACAAAACTGACGTGGCTCAAACTTTAATTTAAATGAAATATCGTTGACTTTTCTCCCTTTAGACGAATGTTTCCGGTGGTTAAAGTATTAGCACAGGGCCTGGAACCAGCAGCCATGTACACTCTTTTGCTCGAATTCGTACAAGTAGATCCTCATAGGTGAAAATATTTATAATTCTAGCATTACATGATATCATTTATATATTTATATATATTATATAAAAAAGAAACTCTGTCAAAAAATAGATGGAAATACGTAAACGGTGAATGGGTTCCCGGTGGAAAAGCAGAAATCGCACCTCCAAATCCGATTTACGTTCATCCAGAGAGTCCAAATTTTGGTGCTCACTGGATGAAAGAAGCAATATCATTTGCTAAGGTGAAACTCACCAACAAGGCTAACGGGAATGGACAGATCATGTTAAATTCGCTACACAAATACGAGCCGCGTGTGCATCTGGTTCGAGTTGGAGCCGAAGAACAGAGAACTGTAAGCAACGTTCCGCATCATTTTACGATTTTGTATACGTTCTTAACAAGAGAAGTTTGCATTACGGTTTCAGTACGTTAGAATAAGTCGAAACATGTTTAGTCAATATGGATATAGGTACCTATGCGTTTCTACGTAAGTTCGAAAACGTCGAGAAAGAGAAAACGTTCGAACGTGTAAATAAGATTTTCTGACTAAATGTAAGAGTCATCGAGTCAGTGACGTATAAAAAAGAAAAAAATAAGATAAAATAAAGTATGTTTAAGGATTGAAAGAATTCCGATTATTGCAGGTTCTCACCTATCGTTTTCCTGAAACACAGTTCATAGCAGTGACAGCGTATCAGAACGAGGAAGTGACAAGCTTAAAGATAAAATATAATCCATTTGCTAAAGCTTTCTTGGATGCAAAAGAAAGACCAACTGACACTCAAACGTATCCTCAATGTGAGTCTAATATACGAATAACATTGAACTTTCGACGCACGAAGTACGACCAACACATTGCCATTTGAAAATTGTAGACTCAAGTGCTTGGTTCATACCGCAGCCAACGATGGGATGTGAGTATAGTACATCCGGAATAATGACACCTCAAAATCAAGCACAAAACGTCGTTAACAATCACCTTACTCATTCTTACACCGTTTCTACTAGTGGACGTAGAAATACTTGTAGGGTAACACCATATTCTTTGAGACACAAATATGCTCAAGATGGTTGGTATAACAATGTGTTTAATTATCTTCCCGTAAAAGAATAAGAAATAATTGAATTCTATTTAAACTTCAGAGGAACACTTAGATCCATATGGGACTGTTCCACTCCTACATTCAACGACCTACGTAACACCATCCAGTTGGTCACCACGAAGTCCAGAATCCTTACAAAGTTTAAATCCAGCGTGCATACCACCTCCACCTTCACAAGAATGGGCAGCTTCACCTTCGCCATCACCAACATCTTCCTCGCATACTACACTAGCTAGAACGGTCGTTGGAACAATGACACCGACCAGTGTGACCGGATGTACACTTTACGTCCCAGCAAGTTTACCTTGCAATTCAATGTCACAGGATCATCCCCATAACTCAGACTCATCCGCTTGGATACACTCGATGGCCCTATCCGATCAACAACATCATCAACAACAGCAACAGCAACAACAACAATCCTATTTAAATTTAAATTTGCATCTCCATCATCAGATGCCACCTTACACTACGGTATCTCACGGTGGACTACATCACGTTTTACATCCAACCGATAACGAAACAATTCCTTCAGCTAATCCAGCAGAATATTCGATTCATGAGTATCATCATGCACCTGTATCTCCAGTACAATCGACGACACCTGATCAACATCTACACAAACAGCAGCATCACAATATGCAAATGTTACATCTTCAACCTCTTTCACAAACCGAAACTACGTCACCAAATGCTGGAGAATATGATGATCCTTCTAAAGAGCATCAACATGTACCTGGTGTTTGTCCTAATCAAGCTGTCGAAACCCTAAATAATGTACAATCCGATGATGAACGCAGGTGCTTAGCTGTGGTGATAGATCGTCACAATCATCATCGACAAAACAATCAACTGACTAATACCGATCAACAAACTAACGCTTGGACGTCTTTGACACCACCACCTGCTCCTCAAACAACGGCTATTTGATTTACATTTATAATACATACAAGCAAATAATATATTAGGTGAAGTTTCTTTCTACGAAACTATAAATATATTCGCATATATTTGAACGAAAGTTCTAGCGAGTATCGACTAATCGGATTTTCAAGTGGCCTTAGATAATAATATTTTTCATTAAACACTTTCTCATTTAATGATTCATATATTTTCGCATCGTTGTTGATCATACGAAAGCTTCACGTATATCTTACTTGTAAGTATACCTTTCCATAAATATAAATATATCACTACCTACAGAAAAAAATAACACATAAATCTTATATATCATTACATCTTATATTACATTCTGAATTTTATAAAATTATATTTGTTTATATTATTACAAATATATATAAAGAGATAGAGATACACACACATACAGAAATCAATTCCATTGCAAATTAATTTTTACTGCATATTTTGAAAATATAAAGTTGTTAGATAAATTTAACGAATTCTGAAAATATTACAATAAAATATACTCTATCAGTAGGGAATAAAAGATTTACAAAACAAACTAATTTTTATGACAAGAAAATAATTTATCCGATTATTAATAAATTACATTGTCAGAAAATAAATTAGTAATAACGGTAGTTATAAAAATTAATGTTAAATTAACGTATTCCTCTATCCGAACCAATGACTACCCATGCAATCTCTCGTCCACTGAGTTTGGCAAACCCAACACCACTGAAAACCACAGCCTGCTCGTGTGCAAACCATATGCATGCATCCACCTAAAGAAATAACAATTTCGAAGTATTTTTCAAAAATAGAAAATTGACTGGTTTGATAAAAAGTTTTCAGAAACTATGAATACCATCTCTTTCGGTAGGTGTCCTACATTTTGGACAAGGTTTAGTCGATATTTGTATGGTTTTTTTACTAGCCTCATCCCATTTAGCCTAAAATAAAATATACTCATAAGATTTTTGCACTACTACGCATCACAACTTTGAACAATAATAATGTAAATACATCTTTAGCCTTCTGGGGATCAATGGTATATCCGTTAGATATAGATTTGTTATTAGATGCCTCTGAAGATTGTAATTCGCATTCTCCCACATGAAATCCTTGTAAACATCTTCTACAGAATACATACTATAAATCACATATAAAGTATAAACAATATATACTTCGTGTAATTGTTCCTATTATAAATCACAATTGTGTAGGATTCTATCTAAAATATAATCCATGTATTAACTTACACCACAACCTGCAAAACATTGAATTTTACGACATTCTTCTTCATTTGCACCATCTTCTATAGATGGTGGTATTATACCCATACCACAATCTGGCCTTGGACAAAGAAGTCCACCCTCTCGTAAAACATATTCTTCTGTACTAAATCGTTGATATTGTTCATACTAATAATTAAAATATATTTCAACAACTTTTCTTAAATCTCATATAATCTCTTAGTTTAGATAATATATACCTGCTGTGGATTAAGAAGATGAAAATGATGGACTTCTGTAATAAAAGAGTTGGAACATCCTGCGGGACAGGGAAGAGTATAGTAACCTTTTGTTGCTTCAAATTGAAACTGACGCTCGCGTAAACGTACAGAACAATATTCTTTAAAGCAATCTAGGCAAGTTACATGGGCTGCTTCGCAAGGAAAAACCAATACTGTATCCCTATATATATATATATAGGTAAAATTAGATTATATACATATAGGTAAATTTAGATTATTATCTGATCCTCTCATTATTATCTGATACCTTATATCTGTACAAGCGAGACAAGGTACATTCATAGAATTTGGCTTGATATAATAAAGTGGTACTGCCTGGTCATCTTCACCTAAACTAATATGATTTGCACACTTGAAAAAGAATTGAGCATAAAAAACTTGTAATTCGGTGTCTTCATTAGAAGATACTGATAACTCGCATAACTCATTTTCGCAATGAACCGTTATTCTTTTGGGTTGTAAAACATCTGGCCAACATTGTGGATCTCTATCTACTGTAACGGCACCGCTACCACAAGATGCACATTTGACTCTTAACTTCCCTGTAGTTACAGCTTTGCACGGCTTTGAACAATATACATAAAAATGTGCTCGAGTTTCTCGTTGTTCTACCATAAAATATGATGAAAATTATATAATACAATTAGTTCATTTTTGATTTATTATAGTAAATATAGCATATGTAATATAATAACCATCTGTGGATGAATTTGTCTGATCTGTTTCCTCTAATGGCAAATCTGTAAGAGTTTCATTCATTGGTTTACTCCCACTACTACTAATTGTCGAATCAAAATCAGATCCTTCTGTTACCACCTCTTCGATAATATTTACAGAATTTATACTCTTATTAAGTCTTTGATGACGATTTTGAACAGCATGAAGAATGCTTTGCTGACCCAAATCACATTCCTATAGACAATTATATAGAAATATTTAACATTTTATAAAATCATATATTAAATTTTATAAATTATAATCACAATTGTTTTTTACCTCTATTACTGTTGAATTATGTAGTTCTTTACCAGCAAAAATAATTTTAATATCTTCTGGTGCCATCCCCATTCGGGGTGCTAATATTTCTTTCACATTTTTTATATCCCATTTAGGATCTAAATCCACAGATAGAGTATTTCCTGTATTTGTTTTGATATATATACTTAATGAATTGCTAATTTTCTTTTTACCAAACCATAAAAGCTCTAACATCCTGATAAATGCGTTTTTTACTAAATCAAACAAGAAACTCATAACGATAACAATGTATTCTGTACAATCTTCTAACCATTGCACAGTTAGAAGATACAATAAACATAATTAATAACAATAAAGCCTAAGTGAACATAACCTCTACCTCTATCATAGATAACCAATACGAGAGATTAGAACTACTTCCATCATAGATAACCAATATAAGAGACTCAACAACTATATATGCCTGATAACTAACGCTCTCTGTAAACACTCATTTGCAATTCTATACATATTGTAATATCGATAACGTTGACCTTAATCATCGTAGAATTGATAAAAAAAAATTATAAAAACTTTTCCATTATCAACCCAACATTAAAAATTTGCTAATATTTCCAAAAATCATATTTGAAGTATGGAAAGAAAAAGAAAGTTATTCATAATAATACAAAATTTGTTCATCATCAATATAAAGAAATATTTTTCTACTAATAATATAAATTTTATATCTTCATTATACCCTTAACATGCAAAATGTTTTAATTATTGTGTGAATGAACGAATACTTACATTTAGAAATATTAAATTGTCGTTATTCGAATATTGAAATTCGTAAAAAGGAAGAATATATCACTCACCTTCGACTTCGTGAACAATAACGATTTTTAACGACTTTTTGATTCCGTGATTTTAGTAATAGTGGCGTTTAAAAAAACCGCGAAAAAATAGCAACAATAATGTAAGTATGAACGTAATCTTTTTTTTTTTTTTAACCGACCATTCAAAGTATTTCGATATTAAATTATATAGAAAATGATTGTAAAATGTAAATTTACAAAATACTTCGTCATATGCTTAATTAAAATTTCAGTTTATACATTATTTGAAACATACACTAATTAAGTACAATATATATATATATAACTTGCATATCACAATGTTAACGTATCATTTCTATAAAATAAATCATTTTTTTTCTATAATAAAATCAGTAAAAAAGAAAGAAAAAAAATGGCATAAAGCTTACATACTATTTACATAGTGTGTACTAAAGTAATGCATCTCATATGATGTGACACAACTTTCGATGTTATATACATACGAGTAAATGACATATAGAATGCTTAATTAATTATTTTTACATTATGCAAGTACATAATAAAATCATTGGAGTAGTATATTTTCAAATGGTTATGACACACATTACTCTCAAGGAGAGAGAAACTCTTAAAAAATATAAAAATTTTCTTATACTATTTCTATGAAGTTTATATAGCTGTGTAGCATAAAAAATCTAGGTGAAATTGTATTAAAAATATATCTCTTCAAGATAAATGCATGACTAGAGCAAAAAATAGTTGCAATTTTCTCCCTCCATTTAATACTTGCATTGTAATTTCTCATCAAATGACTATTTTTTTTTCTTCAGATGTTAATATTATCATAATAAAAAAAAAAAAAAAATGAAAAAAGAAAAAGAAGAAAAGAAGGCGTGACATGAAAAGAATATAACTTTGTCACAAATACGATAAAAATTGATTAATGATTACTTTATAAATGGAAAAAAAATTATTCGAATAAGACGAACGTAGTTAATACCAAAAAGATATTATTTTTTTCAATACGAAATTCTACAATTATTAAGATAACTTAAAAGATAGGTAAACATAACGAATAAAAAAACTGAATAAAACATATTTTTCTATAAAAGAAAAGGAGAGGATTTTATCATGCAAGTATCTTTGATGTTCTTGATACGAATATATGTTAATCCTTTCTATTCGAAGTGTTATAATAAGTTATTCTTTTCATCAATATATATATAACGTATGTATGTATGTATGTATGTATGTATGTATGTATGTATGTATGTATGTATGTATGTATGTATATATATATATATATATATATATATATATATATATATATATCAACGTCTAAAACATTAATATAGTCATTAGATTTATTCTTTGAAGTTTAGTTTAACCGATAAATCAAAATCGATAGAGATTCATAAATCATTAAATGAAGCTCCGATTAAAAAGGATTAAAGTAATTGTGCGTTATTTGCACGATCAAGCTAGAGATTATTTATTATCGCAAAAGTGCAAAATCTATCGGAATCCCTTCAATGATCCTTTATAATGATCGCCCTATTGTGCTTTTGACCAAATTAAATAGAAATCCTCTCATAAAGTATGACACCTAACCAGTTTTCCAAAAATAACTTTTCATACTGTCCTATATTTATTTTTTTCTTTTCTTTCTCTTTTAATTATTACTAAAAATCGCAGCTTTTTCTCTAAATTGTGCGCGTCTTGCTGCCTTCTCAGCTTCCTCACGTTTTCTTTCTTCTTGTTCCATACGAATTTCGTCCTCAAATTTACTAGATTTACGAAGCTGCTCGATCTACAGATATAAATATAAATTATATAAGGAAAAAATAAAGAGAGCATTTTTTTGTTATTAATTTAAGTCAGAAAATTTTTCAGTTCTTATTTGCTTCATATTATTACAAACAATAGATTTTACCTTAGCTTCAAAAAAGTTCTTGGCACCTGATACGCCAACCTCATCCACGTCTACTTCGGTCAGACGAGCCAATTGTCCTAAGCCAGAATCCTGCTCTAATTCACCAGCATGTGCCTTACGGTAAATCAGGAGAAACTGTAACATTTTGATATACATTCATGAATTATTATATTAAAATCTAACGAAAAAATATCTTCTAAGTGAATTTCTAATACTGCTGCTATTATTACTAATGATAATAATAATAATACTAATAATAATACTAATGATAATAATAATAATAATAATAATAATAATAATAATAATAATAATAATAATAATAATAATAATAATAATAATAATAATGCCGAGAAAAAATAGATAATAATAAAAACAATAATAACAGCTTATTTATATAATAGTTATATAATATTATATATATTCAATAATATTTCACAAAGATTCTTTATATCGGTTTCTTCCCAAAAATACCTTAAAAGAACAGATACTTTGACACAGCCGAAAATACTAATGTTGATAATAATAATAATAATAATAATAATAATTATTATTATTATTATTATTATTATTATTATTATTATTATTATTATTATAAATAATAAATAATTAAATAAATAAAATGATACTAAAGAGAAGATGAAAATCATAACTAATAATTATCAGTAAAGTTATCTTCTTACTTCGCGGAAGGATATACGTCCATCACCATCTTCGTCAACTTCATGTATCATTGCCTTTAAACCGAGATGAGTTTGAGGTGCTCCTAGAACTTCCATCATGCGTTTCAATTCATTTAGATCAAGATAACCATCGTGTCCATCATCGAATCTGTAAGTTGATACAACGGTTGCTAAATATGTTAAAAAGAAGAATTGATCTGTATCAGGATAGTAATTACAAATGAATTAATTTAGTCAAATGACAACAAAAATAGCATGAATATAAATGAGATAAAAAATAACACTTCTATCTATTTGGTCAGTATTTTTTTCTTTTTTATTAATAAAGTAAATTTTAAAAATGAATAAGTAAATTTTTTTTTTAATAAATGATCGATATATATGAATATTTTAGTCAATATAAATAATAAAATGTCAAAGTTGCATCAGAGCTGCATCATCACTTATATTGTCTTATAAAAAGAAATATCTTCTTCGAGTATATTATGTACCAATATTTTATTATAAAAACTAACCATTTATTTAAAATACTGACCCAATAAATAACATTTAAAAAATAATGCATCAAAGAAAAAAGTTCTAGTTCTGTCATTTTCTTTGCTGAAAATTACATTAATCGTAATGAAGGTGTTACGAGTATGAAAATATTTCTTTTTTAAGCAGTATAAAATATTAATTAAAATATTTTGAAAGAGAAAAAATATTCGAAATCGTTAAAAATAATTGTATCACTTTAATAGTATTTGATAAAAGTATAATGTAACGGATCCTACATCAAAATATCGTTGACTTCAAAAATGTTTAGAAATTAGGACACACCGAATAAAGATCGATGAGTATAATAAGGTACAAATTGTTATTTTTTAACTGAAGTAAATTAAATTTAGGCTTCTAAAAAATCCCACAATATCGATACGCTCCTGTGATGAAACGTATAAAGGCGAACTATCGTAAAGGTCGAGGTTGCGCGCTTATAAACATACTCGAACGACAAACATACTCTGATCGATAAGAAAATGTAAAAAGTAGATTAAAACCGTTCTTCGATCGATCGTCCCACTGAACGCAAACTCCTGGCTTCGTTGAAGTATCTGAAATCTTTTATTTATTATCAGATTTTTTTTTAATCAATAACTACGAAGATATTTCTTTTTTAAAGAAAATATTATTTTATACGAATAGCATTTGTATTATATATATTATATATATATATATATATATATATATATATATATATATATATGTACATACATAGAAAATGTGGAGGAAGAAGAACAAGAATGAAAGCTATTATATTCGTTCAATTTGTCGCAGCATCATTTCTAAGGGGAGAAATATAAAAAATCAGGCCAAGGTAAGCATACAAATACGTAGAAGATATTCCTTCTAAGTTCTCCGTATTACTACCCTTTACTTGGAAAGATCGATATTACGGAGATCGCTCTTTTGTACGTATAAAGGGCAGGTTATCAACGACTCATTGATTTAACATTTAGCACCGCTAAGAGAAAGTACAGTAAAACAAATATATGTCATGAGCTAATTGTATCGATTTACTAAGAAAGAATGGTTATTCGTCATAGTTCGAATAAAAATTATTCAATTAAAAAATAATTTATCAAAAAGGAGTATTTCTAATTTCTCCATTTTCTTTGCCGGAAATGTCATTAATTGTGTCACGTGTGTATACTACGTGTGCATGATAAAAATTGTTTTCCAATTTCTTAATAACAAATTATATTTTAAATAACAAATAATATTTTTAATTATTTTAAAATTATTTTGTAATTTAAGAATTTGAAAGAAAATTTGTTTAATGAAATTTTTTAAATTATAAATAACTGTATATTAAATAATAATCAACGAAGTATAACGGATCATATATCATGTCGTCAAATACAAAAATGGTCGAAGAGGTTATGATGCACATAGAATAAAAAAAAAATCGATGAGTATTATAAGGCACAAGCCGCTATTGTTTAACTCGCTTGTCACGACTATGACAACTATAACTTCCTCATGGAACTCTATGCTCTACTATAAAGATGTATACTCGAATTTCGCTGAATCGCCAGAGGTACCTAAGCACGAAACACTCCTTCTTATGGTAATATGAATTGCCAGCACGTTGTACATTCATCGACCCTACTGAACATTTATTAAGACCGCAATACAGCAGGTTATTGTCACCGTGGTTTTGGATTAACTCGATACCTGTACGAGTAAATATGAATCACTTTTACTTACACGTAATCCTAGTTAAAAGATTATATAGTGGTAGAACGAGCTATTAATCCTGGAGAAAGTGTAATGTTTATAATAAAATGTTCATTTACAACACCAGCTTATTTCGTAGATAAGGAACTAATTATTAGTACTTTTCTTTTATTATGGAATTTATTTTTTTAGAAAGCATATGCTAGACACAACCCTCTTATAAAACCGTTAATTCGTACCGTGTTATGAGAAATTACGGAATAACATAAATTAAATGGATACGTTCTGTATTATGTGAAAACCATGTATATAGGATACTTCTCGAAACCGTACAAAATTTAAGAGATTTCGTTCCATGTCAAATTTGACATATAATAAAATGAAATATTATTTGCAATTAAAAAATTTTTCATAATTTAACAATATACATTAATTTACATTAAAATTGAAAAAAAAAAGAAAAAATTCATGAATTTAAAACGAAATAGATAAAATAGAAAGTTTGCGAATTCAAGTAATTAGAAAATCTCATTGTAATTTGATTATGGAATATAACTATGATAAGATATTTATCTGTGATTTTATGTAATAATTAAGACCCGTTGCATTAACCATTGTGTTACACCATGGATCACTTTTGTTTTGTGTAATTCTTGGTACAGTGTATATATGTGTATTGGACGGTTTATGCAATTTTTATACTGTGTTATATTAAAACAGTGCTCTTAGAGTGCGTTATAGATGTTATAAGAGAGTACCTTGCAATTTTTTGTTTACCGTTTTATATCGAAACCGTTTTCAGAAAGTACCGCGCTATAGGAGGATATTTTGTAATTTTTTTACTGTGTTATATTGAATTATAAAAAGGTATCTCGTAATTTTTTTATCGTATTCTCTGAATAACGTGTTATATCGAAACAGTGTTCTTAGAATACCGTGTTATATCAAGACTATGTTCTCAGAGTACCGTATTATAAGAGGGTTCCCTGTATATATGTATACTTCGTTACGTTAGATATGTATCAATCGATTTCTTTATGCAACCTATCCTCTATCTGGTAGGAAAAGTTCAGCGTTCTAAATTCACAGGCACAATTTCTAATATCCAAAATATAGTACGACTAATCGATAAATTCATGATCGGTATATCACTTGAATTGTCGAATAAATTCTTTCTCCGATTACGCATTCGATACACGCAATTTCTTAGAATGACTACGAAATAACGGCTCGTACACAAATACGTAATGAGGATACAGAAATCCGCACGTTGGTTTAGATATACGATTCACGAAGGGCTTTGCTGCACGTGGTGTTTACACTATGAGAGGGAACGTAACGATCGGTAAATGTACACAACGTCTATTTTAAAACACAGGACGTCTGATACTTTAAAAGAAACGATATCGTCTAATACTCAAGAAATCGATGATCACGTTGATGGTAATTTTATTTTGTTCTTAAAAAAGAAAAACAATATGTACAAAAAATGTTCATTTACGCTTTCAAATTTGACGCGTAATTTTCTGTGCCAATTTTGAATTTTCAATCTTTGCTTCCCGTTATTTCCACTCTTTTCTCGTAACATTTTCGATTAAATCTTAGAGGAAATTAAAATATAGTCAAAGTCGGAAGAGGATGATAAAGACGCTGAAAATTCAATCAAAATAAAAGGAAACCTTGTCACCGTGCGACTCATCGAGACAGGAAATGCAAGATAGATAACCACAAGATACGAAACATCTGCGGATACATGTTCGCTATCATGTGTCACCGAATAGTCAAACCACAAAGTACAAAATATGTTCATATATACATATATATATGGTAGATTGTTTAAAGTGAAAAGTGTTCCACCGAGTTGACTACCGATATTGCTTGAGACGCTTGGTAAACATATTCGCGAGACAGTAACCGGCAGTTTGAAATGATCACCTTACGTGACTCACCCCGTCTTTGTGAGCGTGCGTCAGCGTATATATATGCTGCACACGTAGAAAGAAAAACAGGGACCTCATAGCATACCGGTTTCTGAAAAGTGCGTCTTCCCTTAATAGAAAAAAAATAGAATTCCGTAAACTGTTTTGTGGAAAGAAATATCCCGATTTATGAGGTAAAAAAAAGGAAAAGTTTCCATATTTTCGACGAATATTAGTGTATTAATTTTATCATAGAGGACAATGAAAGCAATCATTAATGAGTACGACAGATATTGTAAAATGTTTACGAAAAAAAAAAGATCGTATCAAAAGAGATAAGCAGTCTTACCGGAATAATATCCAATGAATTTTTTCTTTTTTCTTTGTTCTGTGAAACAATTCTGAATTTATAATACGTAGGTTTCAAAAGTAGTTAGTATATCTCCGAAAGACAACATTAAACGATAAAGGATTACTATCTACGTTAGATAATATAAAGTTAAAATCAGTGTATTCGTCTGAAAAGATAAAGTTAACGATATTCGTATGAGAATCTTTAAAAAGATCACAGTGTTTCATTTAGTTACAGATAAAAATATTTGGATGGTTATTAAGAAACAATGAGTCAAACGGACTTCGATCATTCATAGATAGAGATAGAAACTTATGTTTACGACCTTTCTTTCAAACTTATTGTTTGAATACATATCGATGATAGGAATAAAAGAAAAAGTATGACTTTTTTTTTGTCGGTGAATAGGTCAATGTCGAATTGTCTATTATAAGAATAAAACGAATAATCATATTCTACAATCAGGTATCATTAACGCAGCATCCTTGCATTGTGACATTCATGTTGGAAGAATACAAATGCGTAGTAATAATATGCACGTCACGAAATGTTTTCTCACGAAATATGTCGTATCATACATAATCAATTAAGGAAAAACAATGAGTGGTATTATTATAATAATATCTTTGTCTTTCTATAAAGTAAGAAACTAATGAAAAAAGTATAGAGATAATATGAAAAAGAAAATATTATAGTCGCTCTCTCTTTTTCTCTCACCTGTTGAAGGTTTGCTCGTATCGTTTGATCTCCCGGCGAGAGAGCTCATGGAATTCGGTATAGACGTTAACAAATCTGTATTGTTTCTTCACTTCTTTACCCTCATCGAGATCCTCGTTGATCCGTTGCCTCCTGCTAAGAATGTTACTAAGCTCAGCGTCCGCAGACATCTCCTATCTTTACCAAAGATTTCCCTCCAACCGAGTGGATTATCTCTCTCTTTCTATATTTTGATGTCCTTTAGAACGAAGTTTCACGTTTCTCTCTGCAGGTACCGCTAGACTTTTCTCGTTCTAGTTCGTTAGAACGTTAAGTAAAGGTAAATAACTGAACGTAAGATTCTTGATGTTAATTAAATCCTCGCTAAATCGTTCTGTCAAATTAAAGAGACAGTAGAAAGAGAAAGAGAGAGAGAGAAAAAGAGGCAGAGAGAAAAAGGGAGAAAGAGGGAGAGAGAAAAAGAGAAATAAAAGACGAACCACACACCACGATGAGACCACATGCACTGGCATGCATTGACGGCGCGCCGAACGAATCGACTGGTGCGAGCGCGGATTCGTTTCCAGGGCCGTATCCGAAGAAAACCAATAAGGCGCTAATATCACCTTTTATCTGGATCAATTTTCATATGCTATTTTTTTCCTTTTATATATATATATATATATATATATATATATATATATATGATAATTATATACGATATAATATATACGATATTTAATAATATTGAATAAAATATATTGAATTAATTATTATTATTTATGTTATATATTTAATATAATTTTTATGGTTTTACAGATTACACCTTATCATTCATAATTGGAAACAATTCAAATTTTAAATTATATAAAAAATGCGTGATAACGAATAAAGAAGTATTTTTAAATATTTCTCTGAATCTGATAAAAATACTTTGCTCTCTTTTTTTTTTTGTGGAGGGAGGAGTAAACCAAATTGTGAAAGATAAAACACAATTTATACTTACTAATACTTCTATATGCATAATCAAAGTCCAGACGAAAAAACTGATTAACTTTTTAATGGTATCTGCGAGTTAGGACGATGACCTTTTAACGAATCTGTTTCAATACTAATTTAAATAAATACAGTATGAATACTCAAAAATATTTATTTTAAAAGATACAAATATTATTATACTTTTCGCTTTTCAGGAAAACACGAATACGCTATTTTGATTGGTTTCCTTCCTTTACGTCACATTCTTAATAACATCTGAGTAACACAAAACCATATAGTTTATATTAATTTTATTCAACCAATAAGAAGTTTTCTTAACTATCAAATTCTTCCTACGGTCGACTTGATTGGTCGTCAATGTCAAATACAACAAATAGTAGCTAATTACAAGTTTCGTATCTTTCTACATTCATTATATAAACACATTACGATTGGTTAAACTGAATACATGCTTAGAAAGTATTAACTCTCTAAGAGATTTTTTAAATTATTATTTCCGATAGAATTATCATTTCTTTAAACTAATTTAACAACATGAATATGAAATATTCATTTCCAGCGAGTACATATTGAGCGGAATCTTTTTATCGATACAATTACATCGAGCATCCATAGAAGTAAGTTTGACTAAGAGCGTCATCTGGTATTCTTTTCATGGATTGGCTATCCTTATTGGTCCTTCTCTCTCCGTTCGTTTCCCTTACTCCTTTCTCATTCTTTCTTTGTGGGAGAAAAACAAGTAAGAGAGAGCGTATGCAATATTTAACGCAGGTGGAAAGCCGTAAACGTAGTTATCAACGGTAGAATATTTCCTTTTGGACAGAATAGAGAACAACAAAGAAAAAATCCAGTGACTGCGCAGTTAAGTTAACGCGACCACGCGCGCGAATCTTAGAAAAGGAAAGAGCTCTGTGTTACGTAGGAAAAACAGAGGAAGGAAGAGTGGTGGGCGGAAGAGGCGTGTGCTGACTGACCGACCACCACATCAAGCTTTTCGTAGGCTCTGTTTCTTGGCATTGCAATTATCTAGAAAACATAGATACTCGCGGGTTTAACAACGGCGTACCGCTTGTATAACTCCTTGTGTTCCTACGTTCGTGCACTCGTGTTCGCGTTCATTGCACACGGTCAATCGAACGCCCCTCGTAACCCGCAGCTACTACGTGTCCAAAGATTTTCTTCTTGATGCAATTGATTTGGATAAAAATTAGTGACAACAAAATATTACGATCATTTCATACACGTGTGAAAATAACGTACCTATGAGGACCGAGGCGAGCTACGTAAGGCAGCAAGGTTTGACGGTAGTGGATAATTCAGAGGTTGGTTTGCGACGTTTATGAGCATGCCGACGAAAGGGAAGCAACAACATCACCTGGCCCATCACCATCATCATCATCAACAGCAACATCATAATCCACATCAGCAACATCCGCTTGTAGTCAACGTTAACGTTAATAATCCTGGTGTTCATCATCTGTCCCAAGGATACAGTACGGTGGTTGCCACGAGTACACCGCGTTACATTTCGAATGCCGGTGAGTCATTTTTATTTTCTTAATCTTCATATTTTTTACAGTTTATAATTTTAACAATTTCTTATCGTATATTTTCAACCTGAGATACACCTCACTTAAGAATGCTTTTAACAAGATGTATATATATGTCGTATAATAGTCATAATTTGAGGTTAGAATGGTCACGCGGGCCATGTGCCTACTCGTCGTAGTAATCAAGAATATCGAAAGAGAAGCACTCATCGTTATGATATATATATATATATATATATATATATATATATATATATATTTATATATATATTAATTTGATATGAGTCCAAAATTGTTAGATACGACGTCAATTTTATTCTATATATTTGTATTCATCGCTTACAAATATTCTTTAATGAGTTGTGAGGTTATGAATCTTCTGAAATAACTATTTGCAAGCTGTAAATAAGTTCATTAGAATTTTGATGGTTCCAATAGCATTTCGTTATATAAGTTTATTAAATTTAGTTTGTGTTACATTTATAAACTTCCTTTAATAATATTCTTGCTCTTAATGCAAAGGAAAAATATTGCCATTTATATTTATTCAACAAAATATTAAAATTTGAAGACTTATTATGAATAGAACAGTAATTAAAATATATATGAAATAATTCGCTTGAAGATATTATGACTAAGAAATAATGTTTAGCTCGTAATGTATATAAAGTTATAGTTGACGTTAGTCCTGTTGATAGTATTATAGAATATCTTTCTACTTAGTTAAACTATTATCTAATCTAATAAATAATGAGGAAAGAACTAATTTTAGAATTAACAAGATCTAAAATAAATTATTACTTATATGCAAAAAAATATTCAGGCTTCGAATAAAAAATATTCAGGCTATGAATGTGTATACAGTACAAAGATAAATTTAAATTCCGTTTTGTGTAAATATGTGCTCGAATTATTACCAAAGAACATAAATAATAGGGAACAAATGTATTTATCTTTTCTCAAGAATTTCTTTTTATCTTTTACGAAAGTAAATACATTTACTAGAAAAGAAGTTAGATATTGGTAAGAGTGGTTGAGTTGAGATTAAACAAATCGAAGACACAAAAGAAGATTGATTAGGACAAAATAAACAATTTAATTTGCTATTATCTTGCAAAGATGTCCGAACTTTGAATTATGTTGATTTTATCTAGTAAACTGTATGTATATAGTAGTTTAATCTCCAGTTATATATCTTGAAAATTCATATAATTTATCTCGTTTTTTTTCGCCTTTATCTCTACAACATATTTTTATAGAATTTTTTTTTTTTTTTTTTTTTTTTTTTTTTTTTTTTTTTTTTTTTTTTTTTTTTTTTTTTTCCATCTATATCTTCGATATCGTAAGAAGTAGTAAAATTCTTAGTATGTGAAGTTACGCACTCCGAAGGCCTTGTAGTAATCACGTTGTGTTATAAAAAGAAAGGCCTCTGAGTGGCTGTATATAGATATTCAACTCGACAAATCAGATCGCTCGAAATTCTTATGTTAGAAAGAGCGGTAGATACAAAATGTGAATCATTTAGAATCTTTTTTCTCTCTATTTGATTAAATTTTCTAAATATAAATTATATTTTTCTTTTTACCTGACATATATCGTAATTTTCGATATAAGTGAAACATGATTTTAAGAAGAAATTAAAATAATAATAAATTTAAATAAGAAAATATGTTGAAAAGTGTATGAAAAATGAATACAAATTCAATTAATATATGTCATTTTAAAGTAAAAGTTTTATATGAAAAATTGAAAGATTGAAAATATCATTAACATTTGATTTTGCAAGCAATTATTCTATTATTAATATAAATTGATAACAAGCATATGGTACTTAAACCAGACGAATTCATTGCACTAGTTATTAATATCACGTAAAAGAAATTATAATTCGCAAAGCATATTGTCAGTTAGGTTAGCATCATGACGTTGAGCATGGTAATGCGCGAACTGAACGAAAACGAGCCCATAGAGGAGCACACCTTTTTTACAATCATGGTAGTTATATCGTTGTTTGGTTGGTAAGACGTTATTCTCAAGACTGTGCTCTTTCGTGTCCGTCGTTATTCCGGCGGTTCAAAGTACTAAAACGATAGTTATAAACTTCATTCTCAAGAAACGTTTTTAATCTTATTAGTATTCTTGAAATCCTTTCGTTTGTATAACGCGCGGGACGGGACATTATTTCGTTTAGCAAAAAGCGTGTATTAGAGACATTCTACTCTACCAAAGAAGGCATATACTGTTTTAGCAACGACGAGCATATGGTTAAGAGTCCTCGTGTCGGGTGCGTGGCGAAATTCATTTATCCTACACGTGTTTTTCCCGGTCCTTCTCGTGTATCGCGTTTATCAGATAAAGAATTGTAATTATTAAAAAGAAAAAAAATTAAGAATTATAATTTGAAGAAAAAAGAAAGTTCAGAGAGAAGGTAGGAAAAACGATTATAAAAGATAATTATTCTATTCTTTTCTTTGACGTAACCAAAAATCAACAGCCTTAATATTTACTCGTTACAATTATTGTAAGGAAGCAAATTCAAAGTACCGCCAAGAAAATTATATAATACTTTTTATTTCTGAACAATAATCTTTGTTTAAACGATTTGTCGCACGTGACCAATATTAGTAAATCGATTTGGATTCCTAACGGAATAGAAATTTTCTTTTTCTTCGTGGCGTGAATGTTCACGATTAGTTAACATTATTTTTTCACACATATACATACACACACACATCGTAACGGAGTGCACGCGATCGCCACGCGTACACATAATCACGCCGTTAACATGCACTTAACCGTCAAGGACATGTGTCATCATTGACTTAAAGACGGCCTACTCAGACTGGACATACGTCCCCACAACAGCACCGTACGACGGAAATGTCGACAGTTGTAGGTAAGTTCGTCGCGCGCATAACACCAACATCGGTCGAATGTTTTTTACATTGTTCGTACATACCATCATGAGATGCCGGATGTTCGTCGAATGGATCATACAAAGGGTCAGGCAGACAGGGAAAGAGATATGTACTCTTTTCTTTTACATGGAATAATATTCCATCTACAATGTTGCTGATTCTCTATTTTTCTTCATAATATTTTTTGTATGTGAATACGAGATATAACAATTTGTTTTTGCTTTCACAAAATCTATCATGATTCGCACGTAACAATTTGAAACGCCATAAGAAAAGCAGAGACGGCACGATACTGAGCATGATGGCGATAAATTGTTTTCTTGCTGCGTGTTTCTGAACGGTACTGCAAGATGGCGCGTTAGGTTTTAATTAATCCCATACTTCCATTTCGTACATCTGTTATGAAATATGAGAAAAAAAAATTAATTTTTTTGTTGGGTTTATAATGTTATTAAGTTTCTTAAAAATGTAAACTTTTTAATATGTTGAATGATAAAAATAAATTAAAGATCACATTAACAGAATTTGAAGGAAAGCTCTTGTTATTTGATCATTCGATATTGGTTGTTTACAGGACATATTCTTTTGATGTTCTTGTTAAATTTAAATGATGAAATTGATTGGTAAATTAAAATGAATGAATATCATAATGCATAGTAAAATTTGGATAGTTTATCGTCATGTTGCAGGACTAAAGAAACGTACGTAATGTTCAATCGTGATTTTCAGGTGAAAGTTGGCTCAGATAACAAACTTGAAGTTCGATAAAATCCGGATCATTATTTAGGTGACTAGGTAGACATAAAAATACAGTTTGGTTCGTCATAATTCTTGCAAAATTATGATATTGTTAAAGAAGAGAATGTTTAGAGAAATGAAGTTATTTACATATATATATATATATACAATTGTTATGACTATTTATAAATATTTATTCCTCGAACCATATATATATATACTTTATTTTATTTTATTTTATTTTATTCTATTCTATTCTATGTTTTATTATATTATATATAAATCTCATATGCTTTGAGCAATAAATATTTATCGTATATATTTATGCATGTATATATTTATATTTGTTATATATAACAAGCAAACTGTTCAAAGATTATATATTGGAAGTAAAATTTGCAGCACGAAATATAAAAGAATTAAAACAAGCGTGTAAAAAGAAAATGAAATACTATTAAGCTTCTCTCTCCGGATGTTCGGCGGCCTCTTTCTTGAGCGAGCGGCCTTGTCAGGAATGCGTATTTTCTACCGGTTCTCCGCGTACTTACTTCGCTACGGATCAGTGTTACGAACGTCCGCCATTCCTCTTAATGTTACCAACGAAAATTTTATCTTTAGTAATATTATTTCGTGTATTGTTTCACGGTAATTTCTATAACAATAAAATTGATTAATGTATTATTATCTTTACGATCTTTACAAGCAAGCGCTCTATCGATGAAAGTAAAAAAAAAAGAAATATAGAATTTGCATTTCCCTACATCTTATGGTATATAGATTATCGGTTGAAAGTTGAAAAAAAAAAGGAAAAAAAAATAATATATAACGCAGCTGTAGTGGACAGAGAACACTTTCAACTATCGATGACATAATCAAACGGTTTCTCTTGCACTATGCAACAGGCAATATAACGGTAAGGCGTACTCTACAATATATAAATTCTTCACTTATAAAAGCATTTCGAACGACCAATCAGAGAAGCGCGTATACGGCCTTACAGTGCTACGTGACATTTCTCATGATTACCGTTTTAGTCGACGACTCGATTTACGCGATATAAAACAATACCGTATTTTGCTATCGTATGTCGTGAAGAGAAGGCATAAGACGCCTTCTTCCGATCGCGTTGTCTTGTTATACTTACATTTGTCACGTATCCATGATTCGAATTAAAATTGAATTTTCGAATACGTTCGAATTCTCTAGCTATTTGCTTATCCGTCGGTAAAGAAGTTTCCATATAAATTGTATTCTTTTTCAAGAGAATGAAATTACCGACTAGGTAAGATCAATATGAATACAAAAACGAAGTCGTTGAATACAAAAAAAAGA